AGGGGAAGACCCTCTATGAGATGGATTGATTCAGTGACTGGGGTAATCGGGATGGGTGTGTCAGAGGCAGTGCAGTTGGCACAGGATAGAGCAGGATTTAGGGCTGTTGTGCATAGTAGGGTCGCTATGAGTCGCAAACGACTCAATGGCACATAACAACAACAATAACAACGACAAGACTATTAAAATTATGATGGTTTTGATTGAGTTGAATATTGTATCCAATATTATAACCATCATCTCAGGGTATAATTATCTGAAGTTTAATTAGCATAACACAGCCTGTAAAGACAGTCTTTCACATCATATTTTGGTGAGTAAAGACTGAAGTCTTGAAAACTTGTAAGGCGCAACTATTGTTCATGTCTTGTTCAGAGCAAAGACGAGTAAAGAAAAATCAAAGACACATAGAAACAAATAATCCAAAGGATTAATAGACCACTCAGATTTCAGCCTTTACGATCCTGAGACCAGAAGGAACCAGATGACACCGGACGATGATTTTTGATTTCTCTGAAAGGGAACACAGTAGAGGATGAAGAAGAGAGTGCAGAAGAAATGTACAGTAAAACTCGAAATCATAAAAATTATCAGGCTTACTCATATAAACTGGTAGAACTTAATCGAGTCTCCATCTTGCCTCATTCCCATGGCTCACATTTCAGTGAAACAATAGATAGGCCTATATGGTGAATACTAACCCCAGCAAGGAACTCATTCCTTAGAACACGCAACTACACAACATCAAACAGCAGCATTTTTTCCAAGAATGAAGCTCAGAAAGTGAGAAGGGATAGGATCAAAGGGGGAATGGAAATGTGAATTTTAGGGAGGAAGTGTAAAGGGTGCTATTAAAATCTAAGGATTATAATCAACACCATATAACAAAATGTGTATGAGTGGATGAATGGAAAATTAATTTGCTCTGTAAACTTTGAGTCAAATAGTAATTGAAAAAAAAAAACAACAAAAAAGAAACCCCCACTCAACAAATACCCTTCCCCAGGTATCTGAAGTTCCTTTCCTTGTCTACCTAGTTTTAAGTCTACATTTTCTGCTTTTTTATTTCTCAAGGACAGCAAATTCATTGTTTGCTTCCTCTATTGGATTATTTTCACAGTTCTTCAGACCTTAATAAAGAAGGTTTCCTTCTCTGAAACACTGACCCAATCTTCAGGGCTCAGATTCCTGTAAGTGTCCCCGTAATTCTAGGTACCTTTATCAGTCTCCATGGGCTTCGCGAATTAAATCTATTGCCCCATCTTGCTGCTTCCTTCTTCCTCAGATCTCATGTTTATATGACTTCCTCTCATGCCAGAAAATATGTCCAGAAATTTTTTAAAATCCCCTAAACTAGAATTACAAACATCATTAAGCAAATATTTAAAGAACTAAGAAATCCACTTGTTACTTCCACTGAGTCACTGAGTGGTACAGGCACAGTAGGCTGCACACTAAAGGATGATAGTCTGAGATCACAGCACCTCGGAAGAAAAGTCTGGTGATCTACTGTCCAAAAATCAGCCTGCATTCCCTCCCCCTTCCTTTGGAGCACAGTCCTTCTCTGACAGATGCAGGGTCATTATGAGTCACAATCAATTCCATAGCAACTGGTTAACATTTTCAGGAAAAGATCAAAACAAAATGTTTGTGCTTTGTTTAGAAATTTACACCTGAACTTGCAAAGTATAAATTTATTCACACATGCCTTTTTTTTTCCTTAGTAAATATTTTACCTTTGGAAAATGGCCAATATCTAGACCTGTGGGTAGTAAGAATAGTATGGGTTTTCTGTAATGAATACCATTAGTAGTAAATAATTAATGATGGGGATATACTTTTTTTTTTCTGAAGAGTGCTGAAAATGAGTGAAGAAAGCTATTTGAAAGTATAGCTTTTTTGCCTTTGGTTTTGTTATTTGAGGGCTGGGCAATCTTGCCATTGTTCTCTGCTGAGCAACTGGCATTTTCTGTGCCAAACAGTGTTGGGTTCCACACTTTCATAATATGAGCTCATTTAATCACCACATCCACCTATGATAAAAGCATTCTATTTCTTTTACAGATGATAAAATGAGGTTCAGAGAAGTGGAGCGAATTGCCTGACCTATCAGAGTGCTCCTTAGAGGTAAGGATGATGAAACTTCATCTCACATATTCTGCATCTATTGTCGGAGGAGGCCAGTCTTTGGAAAAGGACATCATGCTGAGAAAAGTGGACAGTCAGAGAAAGAGAGGAAGATCTCAGCAAGAAGGATTGACATAGTAACAGTGGGCTGGAGCATATCAGAGATGGGAAGAATGGGACAAGGTAGGGCAAGGTTCAGATGTGTTATTCATAGGCTCCCTAGAAGTCCTGGTCAACTTAATGACATCTAACAACAACTTTGAAATAGCAGAAGTCATGTTGGAACTAAAGCTTATGAAATACTCTCTCCTTCCATGACAGATTTACCTCTGAAATAGTTCTGCCCCAGGCATAAGTTCCATCTTCAGGTCTGCCTCCATTTAGGTAAACCCATACTCGTTTCATGTTGGGTTGCTTGTACAGGCGGCTCTGCTTAACTTCTGCATGTTTAGTTGAAATTGGAGACTCTCCTTTGAACTGCAGATCTTGGACTTCAGAAAGGTGTGCCTTTAAAAAGAAACAAAACAAAACCCAGAGACTTTTACGTTTCACAATTTGTCTGCTTAATGTGTATATGAACAATGTGATGAAAGAAACACCTTGAAACATTCAATTGTACTTTAAAAACTTTAGGAAGCATCTATCTCTTCCTTCACTGGCTCTTCTGCAAATCCTCTTTGTTTCCATGAGAGGACTTACTAAAGTGAATTATAATTATAATAGTAACAATAATAAAGAATTTATTTCAGCATAGCACTTAACTTTCACTTCTAATTTGGAAAAATGAATGGAGATGTGTTCCTGGACTACTGTAAGGTACTTCTCCTACTGAGTGATTTCTCTGTATCTAACAAATGAGAATTTTATTGGAACCACAACAGCATTCCCTTTAACTAAGAAGTGCTGACGGGACTACACATGACTGTTGGTTAAGTCCTTAACTTACTATATTTTAAATTATAGTAGCAACTCTTATATGTTGCCAGATCCCTGCCAGGCAGCTTTTCATCCAACTTCAAGAACATACAAGTTCAGTGCTTTGTATTCATTCCTGGTCAGTGATTTATCCTTCTTAGCTTGGCAAGAAGTCATATTTCTAGGATGTCAATTCTTTTTCCCCCCTCGTAACCTTGACTTGGGCATGCACTTAAGATTTAGATTGAACACATTTCATGGATTTGAGAAATCCTATTAAATAGGAACATATCATTTTGATGGAAAACTTCACAAGGCGAAGAAGTTTTCCCAGGTCTCTGTCCTCAATCCTCTCCCACAGCTGACCTTTCCTTTCTCAACAATTTTATATCTGGCAATCCTGACTGATTGGCCAATTGGACTGTAACCACTTTTTTAATTCCTCACTTCTGAATGTCTCCATCGCAATTAGTTTTTTGCTCCTTGCTCTTTTTACATCTTGAGACATACCCTTAGGAGTGATGAGCAATGAAGCCATAAGGCTCAACTTGACTATCCTGATGATAATCACCTTGGTGCATATCCACTGGGCCTTTTCCCTCTTCTTTGCTAAGGTCATAATTTCTGATATCCATTCAGACAAAACACACTGGTATAGGAGCTGGCTGTATTTTAGATAGCTACTCTCAAATGCCAACTCAATGTTTAACGTGGCCATCACTGACCAGATGTTGAGAATATATTAATAGCATAATTTAGAAATTTGGTATTGCACTTTTTAAAAAGTTTCAATAGAAGGGGGGTCCTTCACATGTGTTGTCCTAAAGACCGTACCTCTGTATGTCTTATAAGTTCCACGAGCTTAATTTCCTCTTGACTCTGCTGAGTCCAGCCTCCCTCTACCACCACTGGCTGCACAGCGCTTTTGGTTGGAACCAGGATAGTTGGCTGACATGCTGCAACTCGCCTCCCTGGGGAAAGAAGTCTCTGGAAATATTGTTTCTGATGATAGGCTTTTAGATTTCAAATAAATTGGTTTGGTACTCTATGCATAAATCATTCCACCCAGGCACATAGGCTAAAATACTAAATATGTCATAAAAGTAAGAATGCCAAAGGTAATAATATCTAACAATGCCTCTTCATATGGGAGCTGGAGTCTTTAAATAGCCAAGATAAACACACTCTACAGATGTAAGAGAAAGATAACACGCTGACTTCCACACCAGCCCTAGCCTCTCATCCACAATATGGTTCAGCAATAATTTAGTCAAATAGAATTCGTGACCTATATCGTCCCCATCATCTCCTTCAGCCTTGGAACATATGTTTTGTTCTCTTCACTAATAATAAGCCTTTCCCCACAATTAGCTTAGTGGCCTGGGGATTAAGTATTTCTAAAATAATATTAACTCAAGAGATAGGAGCCCTTTTAAAATTTTTTTCTATCTAATAATACCCTGAGAGCACGATTAGTTTCTGACACCTCCGCTGTGCCCTTTATGATGTTAAAAAGCTGTGGTAAGAGAAAATATTTATTGGAATACTGTATTTTAAAGAATCACAGGCATAATTTAATAAGTATGGTGATTCAAATTTATACATTCTTTCAATGAGGCCACATAAAATGGCTTAAAGAGAGGTTAAAAAAACCATGCTTATGAAATTGTTTTCTTCCTTTGTGTGTTGAAGATACAGTCAGCTTTCAGCCTCATGCTGATCTTTAAGCTTCTTAAAATAATTCTTGCTCTCACAGGCTTTCTCCTCCAGAAACCTACATTGACCACCAGCTATGTGTCACTACTATGCTGGATGATGCAAATACAAACACCTTCAAGATCAAGTTCTTGCCTCAAGGACTAACAGTTTGATGGAGAAAGCAAACAATAGGGAAAGAGTTGTACTAATAACTGATTCTAATTATGCTGCACCAAGTAACTATCGGATTTAGGAAGGAATGTAATGGGGTAGTCAATGCAACATGGTAAATCAAAGCAGGCTTTTTTGAGAAAGTAATCCTTGGGTTGATAGAACAATAAAAATACTAACACAAAGTTTAGTCTCCATTGTCACAGCACTCTTAATGTCTAGATTTCAGTCTATGGCTATGAACAAAAATTCCGTGAAGATAATGCTTTACTTACTAAAGATACAGCACTGACATGCCTGTTGTTCAAATTTTGGAAATACTCCATCAATAAAAATGTCAAGGATTGGAATGTTACTGATCATTTTTTCAGGAAAGCAAAAATGCTCCACAAAAATGAGGAAGATCTTCAATGAGATAGATTGACACAACAATGGAATAAGGACAGCAGAGAATGATACAGGGTCAGGCAGTGTTTTGTTCTGTTGTACAAAAGGTGGCTGAGTTGAAGCAGGTTTAATGGCACCTAAATCAGTTATCATTGACATGCAGTGTGTGGGTTTGAGAAAACATAATTGTATCAACCAGTCAATGATTTACAATGACAATGATACTATGCAACAAGCTTTGGAGAAGACCACAGTGGTCCCTCATAAAACATATAATACAACTTTACACTAAATATAGTTTACAAGAATGGGTACTCTCTTCCCATAAGATTAGCTGCATCTGAAAATCCACCGAAGGGTCAGCTATGGGTCGAGTCTAATTCTTGACAGTACACAACAGCAACAACTCTTAAAGTGCAGAAAACATTAATTTATGGTAGATACATTTGTGTAGATAATATTTCAATAAATATTTTATTTAGAATGCATTTTGAACACTGAAATTTAGTTCAACTAAAGAGAATTCAGTAATAGTGATTTATGATTTATACTATTAAGAGCCAGAAACTGAATAAAGGAAGGAGGAAAACCATCATGCTTTCCCCCCACAACTGGTCTCTAATGGTCTTAAGAAAATGCATGCATTTGCACTATAATTTTCATAAAGAGGTATGTCATCAAGAAAGCTTTTAGTTTGGAGAGAGGTTTTCATGTAAATTGTTATTTATGTACGTAGGGATAATAGAAATTGAAACCCGGTAAAATGTATTCAATAAATTATTTCTTATTTTCTTATTATATTTTCCTATATAGCCTATTTTATTTTACATAAAATCAAGGAGTAGCAATCGCAATAGTTAACCACTAATGGAAAGGCCTCTTTTCTTCTCCTAATGCTTCTTTTCAAGAGCATGGAACTCCACTGGTATTGCAAATTATTTCTTTAATTGGAATTTGGGGGGGGAGATTAAAACCTAAAGGTCACACTACAGAACAACTCCCTATACAAGGTCCCTCATCTCCCTCCTGTACAAATAACATCATCTTCCTTTACTGGGAAGTCTATCCTGGTTCAGCATCATCTGACCTGAGAAGATAACCCGCTTAATTGTGATGTTCACTTAGCAAACCCTTCTCCTTCTTACACTAAACAAAATTCTGCTGTGTGTGTTGGACCTGACCTGCTATTTCTTAGTTTTGTTTTCTAAGTTTTGAGGTCCCAATTGGGAGAAGAGGCTGCCTCATCAGGAGCTCCCATAACAATATTTTTATTTAGTTGTCTCTGGTATATAGTAAATATTAATCATGTTACGTAATCAAAACAAAGTTACTAATATTAACATCAGAAAAAATCATGCTTACAAGTGAAATGTAAAATCAACTTTGCACATTGGTTTTTACACAGTATATGCTTAATAGACATTTGTTACGTATTTCAATAATTATACTACTAGGAATTAATTGATTTAAGAACTACTCATACCTTCTATTTCATCTAGCACACAAGAAGCTTAGCATCCAAGAGGGACCACAGTTAACTGAACCAAGACTTGGTCCTATCTATCCTCACAATTCCAATAGCAAAAAAAAAAGATCTTTCTCAGAGTAAACATTGTATAACATGTGTTAAATTTATATTTAATATCAGAATATATACCAATTTGTCACCAGAAATGAGATCAATTACTTCAGTGGTTCTTTCCATAATGGACATCAAATGAACAAACAGACATTGTTTTTGGCAGTGATACTATTGTTGTTGTTAAGTGCCATCAAGTAGACTTATGATTCATACACAACAGATCTGAACCTTGACCTATCCTGTGCCATCCTCATCATTTCTGGTATACTTGAGCCCACTGTTCCAGTCAATGTGTCAATCCATTTTGTTGAGGGTCTTCTTCTCTTTGGCTGATCTTTTAGCAAAATTATATACAGTAGAGGAAGGCCCTCTATGAGGTGGATTGATTCAGTGACTGGGATAATTGGGATGGGAGTGTCAGAGACAGTGCGATTGGCACAGGACAGAGCGGAGTTTAGGGCCGTTGTACATAGGGTCACTATGAGTCGCAAGCAACTCGATGGCACATAACAACAACAACAACAACAGCTACTGACACTGTAGATGATAAAAAATTAATTTTATGCCATTTGTATTTGCAATCAAAGTTGAAGACATGAAAGAAAAGCAGAATTCAGAAAAGACAGTTTTTTCCAGGTTTATTTCTGGTATGTTTTCTAGTAACTGAACTTGATAGAAAGAACTCTTGAAATAGTATACAAAATGGGTGACCCTGGAGGACATTATGTTGAATGAAATATCTCAGTCACAAAAGGAAAAATACTGCATAGTTCCACTGTGGTAAAGCAGCACTGACCTCGGAGTTGAGGGGAAACTAAGAGGGGATAAATAATGTATACTGCTCTGAAACAGAAGAGGAAGAGAACTGTTTAGGAGGAATATATGATTAGGTGTTATTGTCATGACAAGAGTCCAGAATGAAAGCTGCATGGTGGAGTGGACTGGGGGTGGGGGGATTGTATAACAATGAAAGAAGGGGTTTTTTTTGTTTTGTTTTACTTTTCAAAGAGAAAAGCAAATGGGGGGGGGAGGGCAGGGAGGAAAGTGCAAAAATGAATGAATGGAAATAAAAAGTCTCTGTAAAGATTCATTAAAATAATTTTTTAAAAAAGAAATATTGTTTAGAATTATTAGACTAGAGCTTGGGAAATTTACTGGTATAATACTCATAGCTCTATCAGAAGCCTTTAAGAGTGAAGTTAATAAGCACCCACCACCACTGCTATTGAGTCAGTCTTGACACACAGTAACATTTCATCATGTCCCCAAGGTTGTAACTCTTTATGGGAGGAGACTGCTTATTTAACTCCCACGGAGTGGCTGGTGGATTTGAACTGCTGACCTTACAGTTAGCAGCCCAACACATTATACTCTTTACCACTAAGACTTAGTATAATATGTAATTTGAACAAAATCTCTGTCTGTTGTTGTTGTTGTGTACCATCAAGTCGGAACTAATCCATAGCTAACCCTCCTGTGGGTTTTCAGAGGTAGTTAATTGTATGAGGGAAATTGCCCATCCTGCTCCCACAGAGTAGCTGGTGGATTCGAACTGCGTGCCTTGAGGATTTCAGCACAGCTTCTTGCCACTAGGCCACCAGCGCTCCCTTAAAATGTCAAATTTGAAGATTTGGAATCCTTCAAATCTCTGTATACTACATTAAAAACTAGTTGTGTTATTGATTAAATAAAAAGTCATATTTTTGACACCAGACAGAATATATACTCAAGAATTTAACTCCTGCTAATGTATAACTTCGATCCCTCTCCTGAGGAAGACTGGATGTCTTGGGCATGGGTGAAGGCTGAGGTTTTGGGGTATGGGCAAGATAAGGGTCTCCTCTTGGATCAGTCCATGAGACATTTCATAGTCCTGCCATATCACTGCTGTGTGATGCTGCATTAAAAGTCTGGAAGCAGGGGTGGCATCCACTTCCTAAACCACATGCCTCTGGAAACTCTGAACTTGGAGAAAGGACATCAGGCCTTTTGTTCATAGGGTTGCTATGAGTCGTGCCCGACTCAACAAGACAATCAACAACAACAGTGCAAAGACAAAATCTGAAATATATTCCTGGTAAAACTACAGTCCATAATAAATGTGAATAAAGGTACACGTGAAACACAATGCATATGAATTTTATAGGCAGACCAATATAATTTTTTTAAAAAAAGGATATGTCAAAAAAATTGTTTCTACCCAAAGAACAATTTCATATCACAGTGCTGGGGAATAATATAATGTCAGTCAGGAACCTAAGATTATATGACAAAAAAGAACAGAGAGAGATGACAAGTATTATACTGCCACTTGATCACTTTGACGACAAGAGGTAGATCTGATGCTGGGTAGCATAGTAGTGTTTTCAAGACAACGGTACTGGCTTGTGAAGATACTACTACTCCCTCACACTGAATGTAGAAAACGTACTTCCTCAGCAGTATCCAAGGAATGACAGTAAGTATGCTTCAAGACTAGTTCCAAATATCACAGGTTATCAGCTCACAGATTATTTCAAAATCAAAAGGACAGGTATATGTTCCTGGTACTTGCCTCCAAACATAATACATATTAAGACACATGATGTGAACTTTTCTAAAAATGTGTACATATATAAATTAAAAATTAAAAAAAAAGATATTAGGTTTTAAACTTGCTCCTTAATTATCTTTTGTATCACAATATTTATATAGTGCCCATTAGTTATACACCTACTATCACGTGGCAGGAAATAATTCAGCAACTTGAGATTATATTTAGATTTAAACTTGGTAATGCTTGATGTAGCTCGAACTGACCTTTCAACTGCCTCAGTTTGTGTTTCATAGTATCTAGATCAGCCAAAATTTTGTCCTTTTTTATCCAGTTCTGCTTCTCCAATTTTTCTTTCTGCAGAGCTAAAGTAATAAAAATGCACGCTATTTATCTTGCATTCTTTTATCAACAGTAATTTATCATGTAAGCCAATATTTTATAAAGAACTTTCTGCTCCAAGAAATAGATTCAATTAGAAACAAGTAATTAAAAGGTAAGGGTCATTAAAAGAAACCTTGTTTGAAAGATGACAGGCCTTGAGGCATTTCTTTATGAATAGAGCGGGAGAAAGAAGAACAGTGCTGTTTTATTATATAGATTTACCATATGCAATACTCATATTTCATTTTCCACTTCCACAAACTATTTGGAGGTGATGAAAGCCTGGCTTGGAACCATTCATTTTTTAAACATCCACCTACTGCCTAAAGGGTGCAATTCTTAAAAATGAAAATGTGCAGACAGGTCGTCCTCAGTGTGAATTAAACTCATTTGTTATTTTCTAATGTATACCATTATTCTCACTCTTATAGACCAAGGATCTCTTTATCAACTAAATTAGACATTTTTCCATGCAGAATATCCCATTCCAGTAAGAAAAAAAAATCAGGCAATGGTGAAAATATGGGCAATATAGCTATCTTTGTGCATATATTAATTGATGAACTTCATGTTCTTTAAATAAATGTGATATTATTATGTTGACATGTTACATCTTTAAATCATTTTCTTATGGTAACAAAAAAATTTTTTTATATAGTTACTTAATAGAAAGCAAGAATAAGACAGTAAAAATCTTACCATTCAAAGGTAAAAATGGTTCACCACAAGACACCCAGATGGCAATAGGATTTCTGAAGACAAGGTCAAACAAAGACTCATCTATACCACACAAATGATCAGATGTCACAGGCTTTAGGAGTGATTTGCTTTGCACTTCTGTTTTGGGGATTTCTGGAGGGAAAAAAACCCAGACACATTTACCATTGCTGTTGAGTACCACTGAGTTAGAACTGACCCATAGCTGACCTTCTAGTGGGTTTTAAGAGGCAGTAAATCACACAGGAGGAGAATGCCCATGTCTCTCCCATGGAGCAGCTAGTAGATTCAAACCTTGTGCCTTTGGAATTGCAGCACAACTTCTCACCACTAAGTAATAAAAAACATCCTTCCAGAATTAACTTCTTGATTCAACATATTTCACTCTTCATTAACAACTTAATTTAGAAATTGAACACCCACAACAAATGCTTGCACACGCAATTAGCCAGAAAAGTTTATAGGTAGTAAAAGAATTTAAATTAATTTTAAGTTTCTTCTTTATCCTTTGCTTGATTCTAAAAGAAATTTGGGATCAAATATGTTTATGGCATTGAAGTCTATGGGGGAGAGAATAGTTTAAAAGTATTATGTTTTAGGGCATTATGTTTATCGTAAGAGTATAGAATGAGGGTTGCAGAGTGAATTATATTTGGAGTTTGGGGTAGGGTTGGGGGAAGTGCGGGGGGGGGGGATTGTGTACCAATGAATGAGGGAGTTTTTCTTTTGTTTTTCAAGGAG